CAAAATCAGAAAGCTTACAGCTCAATTTGCAGCTCAGCACTTTTTTCCCCCCACTTAATCCACTGTTTGAAACAGTTTGAACCAGGCTCTGATAGAAGTCAGCGATTTTTTTTTTTAAAGCTGAATTCCCAGGTGAATTCCCAGTGCACACTGTCCAAGCTGTCTCTTTCCTTCATAGTTCAAGGGTCTGTCACTGAACGTGAAGCCACAAAAATCAAGTACCTTAAGACTATTCAGTCCAAGGGAACCAAAATCCATCTGCTAGAGAGGGGAATATGCATTTGTTCCATTGAATCCAAAGAGGTGTTTCTGTTTCTCAGAGAGGGAAGTACTTGATCTCCAATACCCGAGACAATACTGGCTAGAGGGGAGAGAAACCTAACAAGAAAGATGAATGCATTTAGATAGGGAGCCCAGCAGCAAAGACTGGAAAGCGTGATACAGGTCACTGCTTGAAAAGCAGAGGTAAGTCAAGGAGCCAGGAAATTAGAGGACTGATTGGGAATTTTATCTCTGTAAAATTTGATATTGTGCAAATGTCTAGATAGAACTTTGACAGGAAATTCGTTATGTATTAATATGAATCCTCCCTCTCAGAAGAGAGCAGGGTAAGACAGACAGAAGGGCCTTACTTAAGATCTGTAAATTGACAGAACTCAACCAACAGCAACAGGAGAGATCCCAAAAGCAGAGATCCCATCTAATCATCGTACTCTGGGGCTGAATGAATTCTCTTCGTGCCACTGACATCCCAATGCACTTAAGGTCAGAACTGAGTGACACTTGTCAGGCCTCTGCAATCATAACACATACCAGACATGCTACTGCTGACCTGAACTGAAAATTTAGGCTGTAAACTTATACGGGCAAGTTTTGAGGCCTCCCTCCCCAGTTCTTCAGAGAGCAAAGATGCTGCGTGCTGCCATGTGCCCCAGCCCCTGCAGCAGGGAAGGGTGCTGAGCTACAAGCAAGTAACTCATGGTCTGAAGGCCTTTAGGTTGAAGGGCAATTCAAAAAAGAAAAAAGAGAGATAACTACAATAACACACAAATATGGAAAACAGAGCAAAGTTTGAGATCACACAGGTTTGTTCTGTACTTACATAAATGTTAACAGACCCTGAAGTGAAGGCTGACGCACCAAGACTGGGTTAGGTCCAACTCACCTTGTTCAGTCAGATGTTAGACGGGGCACAAATGATTTTACTGACAAATGAAAACAGACTGTAAATCTTTTGAAAAGGCTGGCGTGCAAACTCCACAAGCTGTTGGTCAGCCATCCCTCACTAGAGTCTACCCAGAGTTGTTTAAACACTACTTTGAGCAGGCTGGGCCAATACAAATATTATAACCTGTGATTAGCAACCAAAGACCTGGTCTGAGCACAACAAAAGAAAACTGACCTGCTCAGTATTTCACTTTTGCATAGCCTGGGGCTCGCTGGCCATGACTTGGCTTCCAGAACGCCACTTGCTTTACTAAGTTCTCACTCCCACTCCTGTTCTCATCTTCATGCAGCAAGGAACAGGGCAACAGCTTCAAAAAGTTTGAGGAAGAAGCTGAGGAGAATTTGAAAAGTGATGGTTTTGTGCTCATGCTGATTGACATTCCTCATTTCAGATCACCTTCCTACATTACTGTCTGTAAAAAGGATCCATTAAGCAGCTCTCACAGCCCCATTTGCTTGCTAAGTTGGTTTCATGATTATTGTGTGAGGAGGAAATAGTTCAGTGTAGACATGAACTCATTTGGATTGGCACCCTCAGGCAAACACAACTACAGTGACAATCATGTATATGAGGTGAAATAAGCTGGAAAGGAAAGAAGGCCAGATTTCAGGGAGTAAACTGCTTACTGTAAGCTAGATCAGCACAACAGCAGCACCAGATAAGGGTTAGATTGCTCATTACCACATCACAAAGCCCAAAACTAAGAATTACCTGCATGTGTCTATGTTGATGGATCCTTGTTGACTTGCATACCTAACACAGAAGTTTTACTAAATTCTAGTCTGCATCTTTCTTGTATTCTCCAGCCAAAACTCTTTTCAAGTTTGGTTTTCAGTGCTTCCAACATTGAAAAGCAGAAAGGATTGTCAGGAATTCTGTTATCACCAGTCTTGTCAAGTGCTATGTTTCACTCAAGCCTACATAACAAAATAAAACTGGGGTGGTAGGGAAGGCATCCAAGTGTAAGTGCATACAGTCCAAATAACTGACCGTCAGAAAATTTTTATTTAGGAAAAAAAAAAGGGACTCCATCCTCTACACGAGAAACATTATAATTTGTGCATTAATTATATCTCAATTACTTTCCTTATCCAAAGGCCTGTATTTCCTCCTCGCAAATGGATACAGAAGCAAAGGCCTGACCTTTTATACAAACAAGCTAATAAATACTAACAGCTTACCCTGATGCAATGTCATTTAATCACAGCAGCACTTCATTTTCCCTGATGTATTCAGGGAAGGAAAAAAATAAAGACTGCATCCACATTCAACAGTCTCATCTAAACACCTCTTATTTCAGTTTTCAAATTCCATTATTCCCATTCTTCTTATTGTAGTCAGATTTTCTCTTGCTTTCATCTTAAGTAGACTCTTTCCTCTCCCTTAAACTTAAGAAAAAAAAAACCAAACCCAGTCTTTAGCTCCCTATTATTTCATCACATCAACCAAACCCAGATGCAACAACCTAACACTCTATCTGCTTTTCAAAGACTTTTCATCTTCCGCTCCCAACTGTCCCAAAATCCCATTCCCACCACGCTGCTTCTTTTGGTTGCATTCCGTTTCTCTACCTCTGTCCTTATTTATTTCACTTACTCCTTACTCCACACACCCCCAATTCTTTGTAAAGACAATTCTTTCTCCATGGGAGTGGACCAGACCAGAGATCCAATCAGACAGTACAGTCACCGGTGCTTCTCCACACCCAGAGTAAACAAGACTAGTCCGTCCAAACTCTTCTCCAGTACCTTTCACCTATTTAGCCCACTGGGGCCCCCCACTCAGTCTTTTCCTCTCCTCTCTCTCTTCTCTAGTTGCTTCAGAAGGTGGGTAGTTGCTTTCTCACATTTCTCCTTGGCAAGTACTACTCAGCCTGTATTGCCTTATTCTCAGTTGTGTCCCATACAAGAGGCCTGTTTTTAATCTCATGGTTACAGGAAGGGGATAAAGTAAATAACTAATGTCAGCACTCTACCAATCCCACCCATTTCACTAACAGGTTAATATCACATGTGCACTCCACCCCATCTTACTCATAAGATTTAATTCTCGGGCCTTTTTCCTTCCTACAACCTGCTCTTGTGTTTGATCGTTCCCTGGAACGCATCATTACATTTAGTGCTCAGTGGCCTCTCCTCTGTCTCTCTCCCCCTTGTCTCTGCTCACACACAATACCTGTCTTTCCCTCTCTCTAGTCCATAAAGACTCTTAACATCACCTCTCTACTTGCATTCACCATCATCAGCATAACTTTTCTTTCATGAATCCCAAGAATATTTAGAAAGAAACAGAGTGCTTAGCACGGCGTGGAAGAAGAGAGTAGGAAGTAATACATGAACAGAAAAATCTGCAGACCAGAAAGGTGTAGTTTCTCATGAGTGACAAGGCACCTGGGCCAAACCTCACGGCACAATACCAGAGCACAGACTGTCTTTAATCTTACCTATCCTGGAGTCAAGGTAAACATCTACAGAACACAAAAGGTGGAAGACCAGACTACTTGACCTTTCCCCAAACAAAAAGAAGCACCACATCTGTTCTTCAAGGTAAACAAAGGAACAAGAAAGCAGGTGAAGAAGCCAAAAGAGTTGTAGCTGCCAAGTTATTTCAAACAAAAACTGAAGTGCCAGCCATTCAATCCATTCCTTGACTCCTTTCAATTGTAAAAGCAGCGTTATTGTACAGGCAATTATTCCTCTACTATTTTTCCTAGGGCACTTGGTGTTCCCTTGCTTTTGCCAGAGTTGTCCATCTATTACAGCATCTAACAAATCCATGCGCAATTGCAACATTTTCCTGATAGTCTACTACATAAGTGTTAGAGAAGCTGGCAAATAAAGCCTTTTGCTTCTGAACTTCCAAAACACATTGTTACTGAATGCGCAACTGCTCTGTAAGTCAACGTTATGTCTCAAATTAAGCACTACAAGAAATATTTAAATCACATTTTATTTTTCAAATTCAAAAATAACAATTAGCTTTATTTAACATGTTACACATCTCACAGATTTAAAATATCATGCTCTATTTAAATATCTGAGTGACAACACTATACAAATAAAATGTTACACAAAATATATTTAAGAAAATGTTTTGGTCTTCAATCTGAACAATAAATAGACAGGCACTTCTACATATACAAAGGAAGCAACCACTATTTAGAATAACTCTTATAAGCAAGATGTGGAAATACAGAAGAAAATCCAAGTTTTGAGAACACGTTTAACTCTACATGAGACATCATGCAACTTCAAAGTTTGTTTCAAAATTCAAAACTCTTAGGATCTGCACAACTCTAGATTTGCTACTGCTTTGTAGGAGATCCAAACCATGCTCTCATAAGCAATGTGCAATTTCAGTTATTTCCATCAAATCAAGCTACCTGATCACATTTAGTGCCAAAACAGAAAACAAGGACTGACCAGAGTAGCTTTTCACATAAATAACAAAAGCAACAAGTCAGCTTCACCTCATGTAAGCCTGGGGCAGGGGGCAGACCTAACTGTACCTACTGCCCAGCCCCAAACAAGATCTGTTCTTCCTTTTCCTTACATATTCAGCTCTTTTATGGGGTGTTTCAAACAGTATTATGCCTTTTTTTTGTAAAAATAGCATAATCTAATAAAAGCGTAAATCCTTCAGACACAGGCACGCTTTGCACAAAACATCATAAGTAATGCAGAAAATACTGTTCCAGGGTGCAAAAAGACTGAAAACTATAAATTAAAAAAATTCAATAGTTAGAAGTCTCTTAAGAGTGTTTCATAAAGTAAAACTACATTCCTCCAATTTGTGAATTTTCAATTTACAGTGGTTTCCACACACCCACACACAAACACTACTCAAGGAAAAATTCTTTTCCACCATCACAATTAATGAAAGATGCATTGTAATAGGCAATCCCTGTTCCCAATACAGCTAACCAGTCACTGACAGCTAGTCACATCCTTGAAGTCCTTTTCAAAATTAAGACAAATATTGAAACATAATGACCACCAGGACAGCAGAAAAGTCAGGACCAAGTCTTCAAGCCATCCCCTCAAATTATAGTATTGTTCTCAGTTTTAAAAGTACAGAAAAAGTTTCCAGAGAAAACTATACTATTAAACAGAGCTTCAGTGGTCCACCAAGAAAGTCAGACCCAAACTTGGAAAGTTATTTGGACTTAAGACACTTATGCACATTACTTTAACAATTTAAGTGGGGATCTTGCAAGCGTGTCCAAATTTTAATCATTTCTTGAGGTTTTCTACTATGCACTAACATTAAGTTTGTGTAGGAACATATGTTATTTCTGTATTTCTCTTCAATATCAAATGTTTTGAAGCCTTTGTGTTTTTCTGGAGCAAGCCCAAGCTTCTGAAGGCACATTCCAGTATAAACATCATCAATAGGGTAAAGGAGTACCTGGTCAGATGCATTATTCAGTCTTAATGCCAGATCACCAGAGTACAGAAACCCACCGCCTCCTGCATACGGAGGATATGAACCTTCATAAACACTTTCTGGGATGTAGTACTTCAATTTTTTTTCTCTATGAGGTCCAGCATCTTTGATCACATCACCTATAAATAAGTCTTTTGCTTTCTCCTTTGATAAGCTCTTCAAGTAATCCAGGATCTGATGGGTATTCACAAAAACATCATCATCACCCTTAAAAATAAACTGGACATCTGCACAACTGCTGCTGACCCACTTAAGAAACAGCACCTCTTTCAGAGTTAAATTGAAGAAAGTGTCTCTGTAGTTCCACAGAAGAATGTCTTGGTGCCTTTCACTCTCAAATTTTATCATGTCTGAAAGATCAGGAAAATTATCCTCTGGTGGGGTCTGTCCAAGTAAGAAGACCCTTTTGACTGTCACATTCCCCAATTGTATTTCCTTGCCCCAGGATTCCCTAATGGCTTGCCTTCTATCAAAATGGGGTGTAAGTGACTTAATAGCCAGCAGCAAAAAAGGTTTATGTTTGCACTTGTTGGGCTGATCCATTAATAATGAATAATTTCTACATCTCAAATACAGTAGAAAGTCTTTGAATCTGTCTGGCAAATTTGCAAAGTCACTAACCTCTGAAGGTACCCACGGGTCAGGTTCACAGGAACTAAGAACACTCGCATTAGAAATTAAGTTCTCTTCCACAGTCATATTTGAAAGCAAGGTCAGAATAGGGTTGTACAGCAGTTCAAGCTTCTGTTGCTGTTTGTTCCAATAAGCTTTGTGAGGAGTATATTTTCTCCAGAATTTGCTGCGTGGTATAATAACACGGCCTTTTGCGTTCTTCTCTTGGCTGCCACTTTTTGAGACTTCCACAATCACATAAATAAAAATGTTTACCATCATCAGGATACCCAGCAGTTTTAATCTTCTGCGTCCAACACTCATTTCTCATATCTGGAAAGAGAAAAAAAATGTCAGATTTTCAGCCTTTTTCCTATCAAGATCTTGATCTCATGAAAATGCAAACTACTTTCAGACAAAGAATGTGCAAGTTAGTAGCCTAAAAACAGAGGTCACCTACACCCAAAAAAAGGTAATATCTAATCTACCTCTAATACGTGCACACCTACAGCTAGTAGGGGTTTGGGGTTTCATCAGCAAACAAGAAGCTGGTAAGAACATAAAATTACCGTTTGCTACTTAGAAATTTTACACAGCATTTCATAGTGCATCTAAACTGGCCAGCAGTTTTTCCTCCTCATTTAAGTCCCCTTGAAACACTCAACTGTATAACAATTAGAATCTGAGCCCTCAGCTTGGCAAAGGCAGGCAGAGATTTTTTTTTTTTCCTGCTAGTAAGGTGAGCTTAAGGGTATAGAATAAATTGCTATATGCTAAGGTCAGTTATTTTTAAATTAAGTTTCAAGTTTTTATACTTGCACTCTTATACCTTCCAACTACATAATAGGCAGAGCTGTATTTTAAAGCATACACTTCGTTTCTGTCCATTTCTCCTGGCTGTTTCCTTGGGAGAGAGGCTGACAAAACTGGCCAGCTGCATTGCTGGTATTCAGATCTCTGCAGACAGAAGAGAACATGAATTTTGATTTTTTTTTCTCCAACTAGAAAAGGAAATGAATGGCATCAGAAAGCAGAAGTGTAATTATTCCCCAGAAACTGAAGAGAAATCAAAAAAGGAGTTTTCCCATATATGTAAGACCAGGAATAGTAAGTGCACCCCTCTTTGCTGTAGCAAAGGTTATTCTCTGACCTATCTCCAGTTTTTACTGAGAGAGAAAATGGATCAATCCCTCTTTCTTCCACAGCTGTCAGAATGAAAGGTGCACAGGAGCAACATGAAAACAGTGTGTTTCTATAAAGCAGTGCTTATCAAACTGTTTACTAGTCCAGGGGGATATCAATGTACAAGCTACACAACATTTAACAAGCCATTCTAAATCAGGAAGTCAGACTAGAAAATAATTCAGAATGATTAAGAAAGTTAGTAAGACTGCATTTAAGTCAGAAGAGAAATGAAGATCAGAAAAATCTAATTAAATAAAATATTCGTAATGGCTGTTAAGCCCAACCATAAACACTGCCTCAGAGGTCTGGAAGTCACAGAGCAACAAGCAGTCAGGAAGGTACACTTGAGAAGTACACTTTGTGCTTGCTCTTCTTTTCATTTTATTTCCAGCCATCACCAGACACCTGAGCTAGACTGACCTTTGGTCTCTTCTGATTTGACCAGTCTTACTGTCTTTTACTCCCCAGCAAGTTAAACACAAAGTTTAGTAAGAAAGCAGCAGGTAAATAATCAGTCATCTTTTTTTACGAATTGGACCCCTGGATTCTCATTAAATCCAAAGGAGGGAAGTATTTTTGAATTTAAATAAAAAGCCACTCCTAGAAATCATGGACTACTCACGAGAAAAATCTCTACTCTTCCTTCATTTAACCTCATGTACCACCTGCATATTTATCTTTGGATATGCTCAGGCCAGATCTACTTTATTTCATGTCCTGCTCTCAGCCAGTTATGAAGTTTGCATTTCTAATTTTGAAGTAGTTTTCTTCTATACCTCAAAGACAAAAACATACCTGTGGTCAGTGCCATCATTTAAGCTAAACAGCTGAACTGTTAGAAAGCATTGGCTGGCCACACAGAGTTCAAAGAAACTCGATATTCCTCTTTCAACTGCCACAGCAGCTTCCACTGAAAACAGATCACTCTATTATTTTTCTTCACTTCCCCTTCAGTACATCCAAAAATACTGGAGAAGCAGCTGTCCCATGTTTTGCACAATTCCATGCAGTTCAGCATGCACATTGGTGCTTACCTACCCTGTCCTCGACAGCACTTCTCACTAGAACAACACATGGCGTGTCAACATTTGACCTATGTTCCCAGGGCTCCGAAACAACAGGGTGAGAAGCTCACCCCTAGTCATAGCTAACAAACACGGGACTGTCAAGAGCTCAGACCGAGCCTGATTTTCCAGGATACGTAGCACTACACAGGTCATCTGTTCATGGCCCCCAGCTGCTGTGAGTATTCAACATCTCGGTAAATCATCTGGATGCTTGACCTGAGACTGTTCTGAACACAATGACACACCATTTGCAAAGACTATTTCAATCACTTAACTAAATCGTTCAAATCACTAAGACTTGGGTAAGCATTCAAATTCTTTAACTACAAGATCTTCCCTAATCTTCCTGTTTTTCACTTGCACCCTTGCAATCCCCTGCGGCAAGTAAGCCAGATCCTACACAGAAAAATCTCCATTCACTGTTAGACTTGGTAGAACTTTTCATCGGAAAAAGTGTGAGACTGTGAAGATGACAGTGGTTCCATCACATAAATGCTATCAGCCACACACGTAAATACTTATAGAATAATTTTCAGTCTTTTTAAAAACTATCCAATATCGGCGATAAAATTAATGCTTCTGAGACAGGTAATTCCAATACAAATAGGAGTTTTGTAAGACATAACAAACCCCCATAATTTTTCATTAAAGCATTCCTCTGTAATCCAAAGCTATCTACATTTTTTTTACCAATTCGTTAAGAATATAACTCATTAAGAATATCAAACCAATACAAAGGGCTACGAAGTGAAAACGATATAAAAACTGCTTTGTTAAAAAAGTGTCCTTTTTTAAAACTACACAAAGACAGGTTGTATTAAACACTTATTCACAGCATTAGATGGATGTTCCTGAACAAAAAGTCAACAGAAAACAATCAAACTTCAGAAAGACTATTTCTATAAATTGAAATAGAATCCTCAATTTTGTAATTGATACATATTAGCTTTAATCATTACACCAAAAGACAGGAATTAGTAAAAGGATGCCAGTTCATCAATTTCACATCAAGTGAACTGGGTTTATCGCAAAACACAGTATTACAACGGCAGGGGAAGGGGGGGCGTTGCATTTGTAGTGTTGTTGCTAGCGGGAGGTTTGGGTTGGTTTGTTGTTTGGGGTGTGGGTCTTTTTTTTTTTTTCCATGTAAACATCCACAGCCCACGTCTCAAGGCAAATCTCATTTTTTTCATCTGCTTTGGTCAATCACTACAGTGTCAGCAAAGTGCTAACACAATGGAGACCGTGTGTGCTGGGCAGCTTGCTACAGAGCAGAGTGGTAGAGTAGAAGACAGTGCCCATTTCCTACTTACTGCTTAGCAACAGCAATCTGGACAGATCACAAGAACTTTCTCCTATTCCAGTAACAGCTTCTTCTATCAGCATTAATATTACAAAAATTCCCACCTGCCTCCTTTGATTGCTGAGAATGGAAGATTTGTTAGGGAAGCCAGAAACAAACTAAAGGTCATCTGGTTCATACTTAAACCTATGTGATGCATTTTTCTGATAGTTTTGAAGAACTGAAATGAGCAGTACAAAGCAATACTCAATTTGAAAAATTCCTCCTGCTTTAGGTGTTAAAAAAAGAAAAAGCTAGAACATACAGCCATCTAGCATAAAAAGCAGAACACAAGAGTAAACACTATATATTGGTAAAGGAAATCACAGTACACAAAGAACCTCAGGAACAGAAAATCCTGGAGAAATTTATTCCCATTTCAGAAGGTAAGGTAAAGAGAGTTACCTAGACTCAAAGGTCATCTGACACACACTTTTTAAATGCCTGTTTTCAACTTCACAGCTACACTGACATGAAGACCATTTCAGCAATCAGTTCAAGTTTGTATAAATCATCACACCTGCTTATGCAACTTCCAGCTGCAGTTATGCATCAGTATCACTGCATATATAAAGTCCATTTGTTCAATGCCTTTAGAAAACATCCATGTGGCTAGAAAAATAAAGGCTTAACATTAACTATACTCTGGATAAAGCAAGGTTCCGCTACAGATACAGCAATTGGAAAGATTGATTCTGCAGAAATGTGGGGAGGAGGGGAGAGTTGCCCTCTTCAGCTCCACTCCACTCTTACACTTCACTGCAGTCAAAACGGAGGTATTGATAGAAGGGAACAGATTTATGGAGCCACAAAAGCAGCACTGGGATCATGAGATGGATAGAAAAGGCAAACCAGCAGAACCGGGGAAGAAAAACAAGCTTCACTGTGGGACCAGGCAGCAATCAATAAAACAAGATGAACCACAACAGAGGAAGAAAGCAAGTACTACAAAGAAGCCATAAGCTACAAGAAAAGATTCCAAACACCCAAAAAGCTTTAAGTCTCAATAACATTAATGCAAAACACTGACACTGTTCACAATATTATTTTACGCTTTATCTCAAGAGTGAATGAATTCCAAACACCTGCAAGGAACTTATTCATAAATCCAGAAGAGTTGGTATGAAATTAGAATCACAGAATCACTTTCCTGAGCTGGAAGGGACCTATGAGGATCATAGAGTCCAACTCTTGACTCCACACACGGCAACCTAAAAGTTAAACCATATATCCAAGAGCATGGTCCAAACGCTGCTTGAATATCAAGTATGTGTACTCTATCCAGTTCCAGTAATTAATTATACAAGAGACACTTTTCTGGAGGCAAGAATTTACACAAACAGGGTGCATGATATCCTCTGACAGAAGACAAGGGTTACATCTGGAGGAGGCAAAGCTCAAGGTCAAACCATGAACAAGTACATCTAATCTACCAACCCCTAACTAAGGACACACATAATTCATCAGTTTGAACTTCTCACATTGGAGTTAGTATCCTGTAGAAGAACTCCGATTAGCCCTGTCACTTGATTTTTCTGTAATGACTTCACAGAATTAAAGCTGTCATCACATTTCACATACTAACTTTGTTGTGTTGTTTTTTTTTTTAAACTGATTCTACTAAGACGTTGCTATGCACAAAAACAAGCCTAAATCTCTACTGAGGTTTAGCTGTAGGAGACAAAAAGGCAAGACAGAGAGGCAGATGTTGCAAAGAAGTGGCTAAAAAAGTGAAGTATATGTAGGAGTTCAGAAAAAAAAATCCTCTCTAGGAGAGAGACAATGAAACACAGTGGGTTCAGACAGTGCACTAA